TGAGTTTTCTTCAATGTTTCCATCTTTTTTGTGAATTCATTCAGAAGTTTACCCCTCTTATTTTAGCTCTTTGATTTGGTTCTTTAAATTTGTTGAGTTCCTTGATCATGTTTATGATTGTTCTTTTAAATTCTTTGTCCTCGGTTATCTCTAGGGCGTTCTCCTTGTAGAGCTCTTCTATAGGACTGGTGGAGTTTGGTGGGGACATAGTCTTTTGGCTTCCCATTTTATTATTCTTTTGTTGTGATTTTGGCATGTGAATTTCTTGTTGTTTGTGATTCTGATATAAGAATTAAGTTGAAGTATGTGTCTTTGTATTATTGGTGTGCCTTAGTCCTTTTCTTACTGTTTTTGTAAAGCTGGATGGTTCAAGTTTCAGGTTTTCTCAGGTTTTTATTTTGGAGGGAGCTGATGGCTTCAGAGCAGCTACTCAGGAGCACCCACAAGAAGCCCAAGTCGGGTTCCAGTCAGGTACACTCAGGCTTCCTTCTAAGGTTTGGACCCCTACTAGCAGGAACTCAGAGAAAAATTTGGGAAGTTCCCTAAAGGGGCACCGATTTGGGGACTCTCAGTCAGTCTGCTGAGTTCTCAGTCCCTATGCCAGAGGGAGGCCAGAAAGAGGCACTCTCTGGAGGTCTGCTGAGATCACAGCTGCTACATAGATGGAGGTTGGAATGCACCCTCTCAGGGTGTCTGCTATGATCTCAGCCTTATCTTTTTCCAAAGCCAGGTCTGCCCCATGACCTTGGGTGGGGACTCACGCAATTGCAGTTAGGTGGTTGGGTATGGCACAATTAGGGGATGCTCACTACCATGGCACAATTAAGGGAATCTCACTGCCATGTGGAGGCAGGATCCAGGTGCTATCAGGCAGTCACCTGTATTCTCAGCCCCTATACCAAAGTGATGCTGGAAAGAGGCACCCTCTGGCAGTCTGCTGAGACCACAGTACACAGATGGCGGTCAGAACCCTCCCTCTCAGGCTTTCTGGTAAGATCTCAGCCTTATCCTACCAAAGCCAGGTCTGCCCTGTGGCCTTAGGAGGGGCCTCACACAATCCCAGTTAGGGGGTTGGGTATGGTGCAATTAGGGGAAGCTCACCACCGTATGGAGGCAGGCTTCTGCGGCTCTCAGGCAGTCTCCTGAGTTCTCAACCCCTATGCCAGAGGGAGACTGGAAACAGGCACTCTCTGGAGGTCTGCTGAGATCATAGCCACTACACAGATGGAGGTCAGAACCCACTGTCTCCCCTTCTGACTTTTTAAAGCTCTACCACTGAGTCATGTGTAATCAAGGCCAAGAGTCAATCAATGCTCAGTATGCTCTGTTCGCAGGGGAGAACATTTAGTGTGACTCCTGTCTGTGTGAACCCCACTCTGATTTTCGTTCACTATACTCTCCATGTCAGTGCTGCAGCCTAGAGCACCGAGGAGACCAGGAAAACTTCAAGTTCTCAGATCCCTCCCCACCAACTCCAAAACCTTCTGTTTCTGGTGTCACAAAGGTTGGCCAACATCATTGATGACTGGAAATGGGATTTCATTAGCTCATCTTCTGGTGTCGACTTGGCATCATCATGCGCTGTGCTGTTGTCCTGGCATCAGTTCTAGGAAACATCAACCAGGATCTTTGGTGTGTACCAGCTTGTTGTCCCATCAGTGGCAGTGAAGCAACAAGGTTGCCTGGGAAGCAAGTAGCTGCTTGGTTGGCAGGGAAGCAGGTGATTGCGCATTCCTAGAAAGAGCAGATATGAGCATCTGCTGGTTCAGTGGTCCGGATGAAAGGGGAATGTCATAGGACAGGACTCTCATGTACAGTGAGATGGAGTCAGTGGTTGGCTCAGAGGTAGCACATGAGCATACCTGGGGGAGGTGCTGTTGACTGGCTTAGGAAAACTGCTCCATACCACTGCCTTAGCCCTCCCCACCCTGATCAGTGCCAGAAATAGCCGAGTTTGAGTGAACTGAGCTTCTGCATTTGTGTTTAGACTTAAGCTCATCCTATGTCCATGGTGGCTATGGCCTCCCCTCCTCTTTCTCTCTCTCCCTCACTACTCCTTCCTCCTTCCTCCTCTTCCTCCTCTCCCACTTCCTGCTTCTCTTCTTCCTTCTCCTCTTCAGTGAGGATGAGCCTAAAGGCTTCAGTGTCATGTGTACATAATAGAAATGGTCCCAGCTTAGTGCATATAGATCACTTAAATGCATTACATTGAATAAGTGTCTCTTTTTTTATGTGCAAAAGGAAAAAAAAAATAGAAAAATCCATGAAGAAAAAAGACACTCTAAGGAGTCTGGGTGGGTCACTAAACAAACGACAACAGTCATTGGCTGGGAAGAGGGACTCAGAATCCAGAGAAGTGAAATCTTTGCAGAAATGGATGCAATTGGAATTCATTATGTTAAGGGAAATAATCCAGACTCAGCAAGATGAATCCCACAGGCTTTCTTTCTCTCATGTGTGGAACCTAGATTTAAAAGGTTGTGTTTGTGCATGAGTGTGTGTGTGTGTGTGAGAGAGAGAGAGAGAGAGAGAGGGAGAGATAGAAAAATGTGTGTGTGTGTGAGAGAGAGAGAGAAAATGTGTGTGTGTGTGTGTGTGTGAGAGAGAGAGAGAGAGAGAGAGAGAGAGAGAGAGAGAGAGACCTTAAAGAGGTGGGAAACAGGATAAGGGAATTAAAACAATTGGGACTGGAGAGATGCTCAGTGGTTTAAGAGCTCTGGCTGCTCTTGCAGAGGACCTAGGTTCAGTTCCCAGCAGCCACATGGAGGCTAATAACTGTAACTCCAGTTCCAGGGTATCCTCTGACCTCTTTTGACCTCCATGGACATTGCATACACAGATGCACTTACATACATGTAGGCAAAACACTCATACACATCAAATAAAAATAATTTAAAAATACTTTACAAAGCAATTCTAAACCTGCATCAGCACATGAAAAATTTGAACCTGTGTTAAAATTTAAAAAATGAATGCTTGAAATTTAAACGTCCTTATGGACATTTAAAAACACTGTTCTCTGATCCCTTTGCCAATTTTCAAGACAGAGGCATGTGGGCAAAATACTCCTGTTAGCATGTGAATCACGTCAGTCATTCCTTCCCCGCATTCTTCAAAGGTGAGGAAGATGTCCTCTCTGCTCTTCCCTTGCTGCTCGTTCTCTCGGCCCCCTGAGCCTCCCCGTGCACTTGCGCCGTCACCTGCTGTTCTCAGAGCCTTTAGCTCTCACCGTCTTCAATACACTTCTATTTCTGGCTTTAGAGAACTGGTTAAAGCTACTTCTCACTTCGTGGTGCTAAGATCCAAGAAACGTAATTCATTTTAAAGCCTTAAGAGGAGTCTGTTTTTTGTAACCCAAGGCTGGTTTGGCGCGCCCTCTAGTGGCCCAGCTCTGGTCACCGCATTTCCCTTTTCAGTCAGGAATGGAGAGTTGCTGATTTAGGAGCTGGTTCTGTGGTTGACTTGCTGTGGAACCTTAGGAAACTCTCTTATGTCTCTTTCAGTTCATTCTATGAAGCATTGTGGTGAGGACTGTGTGCCTTGTGCCCATACAAAGGAATCCCAAAGCAAAGATTAGGTTAGAAGAATTGCCCAAGATAATTATTCTAAAGAGTCTGCAAATCTGACCAATGACATAAACACATTGAGAAATATGAATTTAAGGTCTGTTTTGGAGCTCAGAAAAAAGTCATGAAGTCTGCTGTACTTCAGGGTGGCCTGTGAGGACGGATGGGGCATGCTGAGGTGACCGGACAGAAGCCTCTTCAGTCCTCTGTGGGCATTGCACAACACAAGTGCACTTACCTACATGCAGGCAATTCAGTCATACACATAAAATAAAAATAATAAATATTAAAAAAGTAATTTAAAAAGAATATTTGAATAAAAGAGTTTATGCTTGTGGTTTGGAAGATTCTTTATTGCCAATCTTTACCAAGTCAATCTATAAACTGAATGCAATCTCTTTTAAAATACTAATCATCCTTTTTCTGAGACCCAACAAAACAACAGCAGTAACAATAAAAGTCATGAATATGGGAATAAAAGGAGGGGGAGGCCTGAGGGAGGTCAGAGATGGGGGAGGGGATCATAACAATCAGACTGAATGTTATACATATATGAAATTGTCCAAAAAACCAAGTAAAATTATAGAAATACCAGTAGTATAATTTTTTTGTATATGTGGAGTGAAAGATTTTCTTTTCTTTTTTTTTTTTTTCGGTCTTTTTGAGACAGGGTCTCCCTGTAGCCACAGCTGTCCTGGAACTCACTATGTAGACCAGGCTGGCCTTGAACTCACAGAGATCTGCCTGTCTCTGCCTCCCAAGTGCTGGGACTACAGGCGTGTGCCACCATGCCTGGCTGGAGTGAAAGATTTTAAAGTTTGTATGGAAATGTTGAGGACCCAGAATAGCTAACATGATATTGAAAAAGAACAGAAGTGATTAAGCCAAATGTGGTGCATTCATACAATACATATTGAGACCTGCTATTGTGTGAAGGAAACATGGACACTTACTAAGTGAAAGCCACACACAAGAGCCTGGTGTTGTATGATTCTATTTGTAGGAAATGTCCAGAAAAGGTGTGAGGGTGCTGGGAACTGAGGCAAGGTCCTCTACAAAAGCACTAAGGGCTTTAACCACTGAACCATCTCTCCAGCCCCTATGTCTGTGAATTTTTGTTCTGACAAATGGTTTTTCCCAGTTAGGAAAATAGGGCTAGAACTTTGGAGAGAGATAAAGTCTTGTGGAAATTTGTAAACTTGGGTGTCAAGTGGATGTGTGGGGTAGCTTATAACTCTCTTGGCTCTGACTTGCTAGCCTGGGCAGAGCAAGCAGAGCCTCTCCCATTACCACTCCTTGGACACTCTTGCAGGACAAGGAGGCTGTCCAGGAGAAAGAACTAAGATTAGAAATTTTATGTTAAAGAGCTCATTACTGGAGTAATAAAGTCTTCCAGCAGTATAGTTTATCTCCTCTCTTGTTTTCTTATCATAGAGCAAAGCAAAACCCAGACCTGGAGACCTGATTGAGATTTTTCGAATTGGCTATGAACACTGGGCCATCTACGTGGAGGATGATTGTGTGGTCCACCTGGCTCCCCCAAGTAAGAGTGGATATGTTATTGAAATGCCAGTACAGAAGTTCCCAGAGTAGACAGGAGAATAGCCAATGACGGTGACCCTGAGCCACTGTCCTTTAGCAAGAAAATGTTCCTGGACCTTTATTTGCTGGGTTAGAGCTTGATCTCAGTACACCAGTAAATATTGGGGGTCCGGCACTGAGTTACAGGAGTGTGGCATGTCCCACCAAATCCCCTTCAACCTTTGCTTTCACTGCCAACATTCAGCCTCCTTCCTCATATTTCTGAAGACACCAGGGAGGGGAAGATGGTTATATGTCACTTGTTTCCTGTTGTCCCCAAATGCTGCTTCCAGCTTCCTGATCACCTTTGGCATTTTCCTGTCCAAAGGTGGAAGGCTCCTTCTTCCAGTGGACTCCAGGCTGCCTCACCCCGAATGTTCACAGGAACCTCATTTTATTTCTCCAGGCAGCGTTAACACAAGACTGAGATTAAACTTGTGACTTGCTAAAGTGAAGTGTTGACTTGAAGGGGGACCAGGTTGTGATGACAGAGGACAATCAGTGCAGAGTGTGAGACAATGAAAATTCAATGTCCAGAACCATTGCTCACAGTGATCGCCTCAGGAGCCTGGACCCTGAGGATGGGGCTGGAGGATGGGGGAGGGGCGTCCCACTCAGAAGCCTTTTGAATTTTGTTACCTGGGTAGCTCTTGCTGGTTTAAAACGGAATCACAGAAGGGCACTGCAAAGGTCTTTGGCCACAGCTGGTTTTCAGCTCTGACCCCCGCATTCTCTCTCTTGTCCCATCTCCTACCTTTCCAGGACCTTCCTGCAGATGAGGACCCTTTCCCATCTCTTCTCAGCCCCTTCCACTTCCCGTGTCCACTTCCTGTTTCTTTTTCCTGTCCGGGAGTCTAGTCAAAGATGTTCAAAACTTACCTCCACCTCTTCTTTGCAGCCTTTGTCCAGGAGTGTCCCACTTGTAGAACTGGAGGGATGGTAGTAGTTATCCGCTCCCCCATCAGATCTTCCTGTAAAACTGAATTCTGCGTCTCTGCTCCTGTTCATCGTCACATTGGTTCCATGACACGCTTCCCTCTGTGACCATTGCAGGGGCAAAACAGAGCTGTTAGTTAGGCCAGTTAGCTGTTGTAAAATCAGCAGACTGTCCTTGAATATGTAAGAAGAGAATAAAGAACACATTGTGCCCTTGGACATCCTAGAATGAGAACACGTTGCTTGCGTATCCATGGGGCTGTAGCAGAAAGATAATCTTTAAAAAAAATTTATATTATTTTTATCTTATGTCTATGAGTGTATTACTTGCATGTAGGTAAGTGCACCTGTGTCATGCAATACCCGTGGAGGATAGAAGAGGCTGTCAGGGTCCCTGGAACTGGAGTTACGGACAGTTATCAGCTGCCATGTGGGTGCTGGGATTCGAACCCTGGTCTTCTGCAAGAACAGCCAGTGTTCTTAACTGCTGAGCCATCCCTCCAGCCCCAAGAAAAATAATCTTTTAAGAAATTTAAAAAAATAACATGCATTTATTATTTTTCCTTTATGTGTATGAGTGTTTTGCCTGCATGTATGTAAGTGCACCGTGTGTGTGAAATGCCCTGGAGAGGTCAGAAGAGGGTATTGGAGCCCCTAGAACTGCAGTTGTGGATGGTTATTAGCCACCATGTGGGTGCTGGGAATCAAACCTGGGTTCTCTGGAAGAGCAGTAAGTGGTCTTAACTTCTGAGCCAACTCTCCAGCCCCAAGAAAGTTTTGTTTTTAATTTACACAACAATGGTAGATATTTGTGGGGTACAGTGTCATGTTCCGATACATGTTTATACTGTGTGGTGATGATGTACAGGCAATTAGCATATCCATGCCTTCTAAGATTTAGCATTTCCTTTTTTGCATGTGCATGTACTTGTGGTGTATGTATGTGTGTGTATGTTTGCATGTGTGTTGGTGCATGAGTATGTTTGGGTGCACATGTGCGCGTGTGTGGAGGCCTGCAGTTGATGCTTTATTCCTCCACTGCTCTCTGTATTTTATGTACTGAGGCGGCGTCTCTCACTGAACCTAGAGCTCAGCAAGTTTATGTAGCGGAGCTACGCAGAAGGCCCTGGGATTCCCCTGTCTGCCTCCCAAGTGCTGGGATTACAGGTGGCCACCATTCCTGACCAGCTTTTATGTGGGTTCTAAGGACTTGAACTCTGGTCCTCATGTTTTTGTGGTAAATGCTTTTATCCAGTGAGGCTCCCCCTCCCTCCAGCCATGCTATTATTTGTTTTTGATGAGAGCATTCAAAACATCTCTTGTGGCTGGTTTTTGTTTTTGTTTTTAATTTTTAAAAATCTTTTTGAGACAGGGTTTCCCTGTAGCCTCAGATAGCCTGGAACTCTCTAGGAGACCAAGCTGGCCTTGAATTCACAGAGATCCTCCTGTCTCTGCCTCCCAAGTGCTAGGATTAAAGATATGCACTGTCTTGCCTGGCATGTCTGTCTTTCCTTTAGAAATTCTTTTTAGATTTATTCTTTTTTAACTTATGTATATGAGTGGATTGCCTACATGTGTGTATGTGCTCCTGTGCCGTGCAATGTCCCCAGACATCAACTGTCCCCAGAGGACAGAAGAGGGAATCAGATCCCCTGGAACTGGAGTTTTGGGTGGTTGTTAGAGGCCATGTGGGTGCTGGGATTCAAACCCAGGTCTTCTACAAGAGCAGCCAGTGCTCTTAACTGTGGAGCCATCTCTCCAGCTCCACATATTGGTTTTTTCATGACCACTCAGGTGGCCTTGGGCAACTTTCTGACCCTCTTGGAGTTTCTGTGTCTTCTAAGAATTGAGGTTGAGAATATAGCAGTTTTCAAATGTTTTTTTTATTTTCTTTTTTAAAAAAATATTTTATTTATTATTTTTATGTGTATGTGTGTATTGCCTGCATGTAGGTAAGTGCATCCATGTCATACAATGCCCACAGAGGACAGAAGAGGCTGTTGGATCCCCTGGAACTATAGTTATGGAAAGTTGTTAGTTGCCATGTGGGTGCCGAGATTGAAACCCGGGTCTTCTGCAAGAGCAGCCAGTGTTCTTAACCACTGAGCCATCTCTCTAGCTCCTGTTTCTTTTATTTTCAAAGGGGTAAAGCCTTATTTTTAAACAAAGCCTTAATGAAAATCCCTGTATTTGATTAACAGTGAAAGACAAGGGCCCTGGGTAGACACTGGTGGGCATGAGTACCATTCAGGGTCTGAACTGCTTGATTCCACCCCCTTGCAGTGGTCAAGTGGGAGGTGTGTTATGGAACCACTGTCATTGTGAACATGACAGACCCTTTCCCAGGAGGTGACACACTGAGGGTGGAGAGATGTGATGTCTGATTCAGAAACAGAACTCAAATTCTCGGACTTGGTCAGGCCAATACACCAGTCCAGGGTCACATGATGAAGTCTTTCTAGAGTTACTAGTAAGAGATTCTTCTGAGGGTGGAGAATAGAAATACCAATACTCAGGACAAAAGATTTCTTGGGTGGCTGGGGAGACAGCTCAGTTGGTGAAGTGCTTGCTATACAAACATGAGGAACTGAGTTCGGATCCCCAGCACCCATGCAAAATGCTGGGCTTGGCAGTGCATCTCTGTAATCCCAGCACTGGGGAGGCAGAGACAGGGAATCACTTGGGTCTCTGGAAAGCCTGTGGCCTATTGGTGAGCTCTAGGCTCAGTGAGAGATCATGTCTCAAAAATGAGGCAGAAAGCGATTAAAGAATATACTTGACATTGACCTCTGATCTCCATATATGTGTACACAGAGACATGTACATGTGCACCAACAGATATGTGCTTCCCTTTCCCTAAACCCCCAAAGCTCTCCTGGGACAGTGTTCCTCTGTGGCACATTTAATCCACCCCCTCCACCATGCCCTTTATTGACGGGGCAGCAGGACCTCATAGGAAGTGGCTTACAAAGGTCTGAGGCGGACCGGGTGTATCCTTCCCCTCTGCTCAGGTGGCTCTTCACTGTGTGTCTTTGTTCTCCAGGTGAGGAATCTGTGGTCGGCAGCATCGCTTCCATCTTCAGCAACCATGCCGTTGTCAAGTACAGCCGTCTGGAGGATGTGCTGCACGGATGTTCCTGGAAGATTAACAACAAGCTGGATGGGACTTACTTGCCCCTGCCTGTGGACAAGATCATCCAGCGCACAAAAAACATGATCAACCAGATAGTCCAGTACAGCCTGATTGAAGGGAACTGTGAGCACTTTGTCAATGACCTCAGATATGGCGTGTCCAGGAGCCAGCAGGTGTGTTCCCCTGTGCTCTGAAGGTGGCTCCTCATGTCGCTTTGCTGGGCTCTGTCAGTTCATCCATGAGCAGAACGGCAGCCTCTAGTTTCATGATACCGTTCGCTGTGTTCATGGGGCCCTCTGCTCCTACAGGACTGCGGTGGTCTGGAGTCACTGTCACCTCTGTTCCCCCACAGAACAGATAGAAGCACTATGCTAACAGGAAGACCATCCGTTGGAGTCTCAGCTCAGCCACTGGCTGGGATGACCTCCTTGTTCATTGCCTCAGTTTCTGAGATTCTTCCACCCTTTGAAAAATGGGGATGGGTCAGAGTAGATCCTTTGTTCAGACTGGGAACTAGTTAGTGGTCTGTGGGCCATATCTTGGCTATATATTATTATTTTGAACTTTGAGTTGCTTGCTGATTCTTTTTTTGGTCTTTTTGAGACAGGGTCTCCCTGTAGCCCCAGCTAGCCTGGAGCTCACTATATAGACCAGGCTGGCCTGGAACTGACAGAGATCCACCTGCTTCTACCTCCTGAGTGCTGGGATTAAAAGCATGCACTGTTATGCCTGGCAATTCCTATATTCTTTTAAATTTAGAAATGTCAGCAAGAGCTGGGTGTGGTGGTACACACTTTTGATCCCAGCACTCAGGAGGCAGAGGCAGGCAGATGGCTGTGAGTTCCAGGCCAGTCTGGCCTTCAAAGAGTTCCTGGCCAGTTGGGGCTGCAGGGGAGACCTTGTCTGAACAACAACAACAACAACAACAACAACACCCAAAATGGAATTTTACATAAAAGGATTGGGATTTTCAGCTTCAATCAGTAGAGCAGGTCCTCAGGCTAGCATTCCTGTATACCGATCCTCTGCAGGGCCAAGTGATGGCTCTGTGTGTGTGTGTGTGTGTGTGTGTGTGTGTGTGTGTGTGTGTGCAGAGGGATAGATGTGTCACCTACCAGCTCCTGTCACATTCCATGCCTGACTCATACTGCATTTGGCTCTGTGATCCTCCACTGCCTGATAAATGAAACGTGGTACATACAGTACATGTGAAAAGGCCTTGAAACTTAAATATCTGTAATAATTTAAGCTGCTCTTGTTAATCGTTGATCCTTTCTAAGCATGAGCAGAGGGGCTATGTATCATCCCCTGTATAATACATGGAAATATTAACACATGAAATGCATGAAAAAAATCAAGGATTAAAGGTGGAGTGTGTTTCTTCTGCTTCCCCCTCCTCTGTGATTTTTATCTTCCCGGAACAGCGTGGCATCAGTCTCTCTGTTGGTTCCTTGTTGTTCTTCACCACTCGGTGAGCAGCAGCCTCCCTCCTATCGCCTTTGCTTTCTGCATCTCCCTCGGCTGAACTCTGCATCCTCTGCTTGCCTGTGCTCTGTTCTTGTGAGGCTTTGTGTTAGAAGCTTAGCGAGCTCTAATAGAAGTGTGAAGACCTCAAAGATGGAGGGGACGTGATAGGGGGCCCTCTGAAGGCCTCTAGGCCCAGGAGTCATGAGGTCATGAATTCAAGCTTTCCGTGTGAATACCGATTCCTATTTAGTTATGGCCAAGTGAGTGTCCTTTCCTGACTCTCAGACTCCCTGTTTGTTGAATGAGGGCCTCAGTGGCCGTAGCACAGCTTTTGTACAGATTCTTGGCCAAGAAGGACCAGTCTGGAGGAAGACTCTGTGCTGAGTGGCTCTGGGGAAGGAGAAAGGCCAGAAGCTCAGTGCTTTCCCAGGGAAAGGGGGACCTGCCCTGCCGTGCGGGTCCATCTTCAGCTGTCCTACTTCTCTGTGTCTCTTGAAGCTTTAGGGATTTGGGGAAAGTAGGAGAGCGTTGATGTGTTTCTCTGGGAAAAGACTCCAGGAAGGCTTGGTCCTGAGCGGGGTGGTGGGGTAGAAGCAGGGGAGGGAGTCAGCCTGTGATTGGTACCGACTGTGCTGTGAACTGGTGTGTTTTGCAGGTAGAACATGCCCTGATGGAAGGGGCAAAGGCTGCAGGCGCAGTGATTTCGGCAGTAGTAGATCGCATAAGACCAAAACTCTAACTGCTTAAAGGCTTCGAAAATTCCAAGTGGAGGAAGAGCTACCGGCACCAGCAAAGGGAAGACATCTCCTTTCTTCCTCCTTGCCCTCCTCTCTCAGTGGCCCTGGTTAAGAACACTGGAAGATCAGAATGTCGCAAATTACTTCTCCAGAAATATATCCAGTGTAGTGATCATAGACCCTCACAAGCCCCAGGATGAGAACTAATATCTATTGTGGATCTTTTATTTGTATTTATTTCGTATGTATGAGGTTTGCCTGTGTGTATGCATGTACACCATGTGTATGCACTGCCTGTGGAGGCCAGAAAAGGGAACTGGATCCCTTGAAACTGGAGTTACAGACAGTTGTGAGCTGACATGGGGGTACTGGGAACTAAACCTGGGTACTCTTCAAAAGCAGCCAGTGCCCTCCACCTCCAACCCACTTCTCTAGTCCCATATTGTGAACTTGTATGCACCAGGTACTGTCCTAGGCATTTCATAGATTAATTTAGTTTTACTCTCTTGCTTGTTTCTTAGCTGACCTTAGTCTGTGACATTGGGCAGCCACCAGGAACATCCTGGAAACTTTGGTTTGAACTTTCCATTAGTGAAGAACTTTTTCCAGAAGTTCTTTCTATGGTACTAAAATGACTCTAGCCTCATTCAGTTTATTTCGATCCTGCCCTTTCAGACCCACTGTGCAGTTTAGGGTCAGGTAGGGTAGAGAAGACGTCAAGAAAAGTGGTGGCTTAATAATGAGGACCAACTGTACCTTAATTTGGAAACATATTTTCCAAGAAATAGTTTCTTTTCCAAAAATTATATATAGAGAGACATGGAGAGTTTGCTTAGAGGTTAAGAACATTTGCTGCTCTTGCAGAGGCCCTTCCAAGTTCAGTTCCTAGCATCCATGTCAATGGCTGAAAACCACTTGTAACTCCAGCAGTGCCCCTAGTCTCTGTGGCCTTGCACTGACATGCACATAACTCCACACAGACACACATGCATACACATAATTAAAAAAATAAAAATAAAGTAATTACACATTACATACTATTGCTTTAACAATCATAACTGCCTTCTCAGTACCAGACTGAATGCCCTCCTGTCTTGAAATTTCCTCTGTAAAACAAACTTATCTATCATCTTTCAGGTCAGTTTCACTTAGGTTCTCAGGACACAGGCAGAATAAAGGTAGATGCTTGGCCAAAACATCATACAAATGGGCCCAGCCCAGTTACTGATAGAGTCCCATTTTCCCTCTGAACCCTTATGAGCTGTGCTTCCAGTGTCTGCATTTCTCTCAGCTTTCTTGTCTTCTGAGCTCCAACCAGAATTCACACTAAGCTCTGCTTCTAGCATTCAAGGACTTTTCTAACCCAAATTCTAGACTTTTCTACATTTCCACTACAAAACAGTTCCAAAGGCCAAAGTACCACACAGTCAGGTTTATCAATGACAAGGGCACATTTCTCGGTACCAGCTTTTGTCTTGGTGTCTCTTCTTGTTGCTGTCATAAAATACTGTGATGAAAGCATCTTTGAGGAGAAAGGGCTTACTTAGTTCACAGTTCCAGGTTGCAGTCCATCCTAGAGAGGAAGCCACAGGGGCAGGAGAGCTGGCCACATTATGTCGGCAGTTTCTGACTGCTGACTGCTCTTCTGAAGAGCAATAAAAGCATGCCGGTTGGCTGCTCAGCTCCCTCTTTCCTTTTCATTCAGTCCAAGGGCCAGGCCACATTGGTGGTGCAATTCTTATTCAGGATGGGTCTTCCCACCTCAGTTAATTAAGATAATCCCTCACAGCCATGTTCAGAGACCCATCTCCCAGGTGATTTCTAAATTTTGTCAAGTTGGCAACTAACACTAACCATTATATATATCAACTTTGTTCTTTATGGTTTCAAAAAGTATTTCATATAAAGCATAACCAGTGGAACTATTTTTTTAACATACTTTATGAGTACCAGAAAATTTGACATTTCTAATCTGATTTCAGATGAATATTTAAAACATATGTCAATTGACCTCTACTCTGTGAGCAAAGGAGAGGAAGGAGTGATTTTGATGGAAGATCTGAAATTGTTCCTGTGGATTTTAGTGTTTGTGGAGAGCTGAAGCCACCCAAGAAACCCAGAGATGGCTCTCCCATGGCTCTGGAAATGCCTGGAAGAGATGAAGGATGTGGAAGGCATCAGTAAGCTGGAATTGCTGAAGTGTTTCAGAGATCTTGGAGGCTCACCTATGAACCTCTTTAGTGTTTGCCCTCCAACCATTTCTCAGCAATTTACACTTGATGTCTCATTCAGCTCCTTGGATGCTGGAGCCCGAGTATATGTCTTTGTTGGTATTTCCTCTGCCCTTCTGAACAGCATCTCTGTTGCATAGTGGTCCTGGGTACTTGCAGGTGGGGTAGTCCTCATTTCTATGCATCATGGTTAGGGTGAAGCCAGTGCCACTAGTTCTCTTTCTCTGTCTCCCTGACACCTAGTAGATGAGCTGGGCTCCCAATACCTCTTCTTTCGGTCTCCTTACCCATTACATTTTCTATGTTGAGACTTCCTGTGAGGTAGAACCCAAGCACCAGGAATCTATAATGCATATCCTCTTTAGCTTTAATCTGTCATGTTTTAGTGAACTCTTTAATGATTTTGAACTCATGAACCATATTAATGCCCATGAACATCTAATAAACAAACTGGGATTTGTTTGATTAACAAACAGCTCCCCTGACCAAGAAGTTTTTAGTGATTCTAGCAAGTGAAGTCACCTACCTCTTGCTTACTGCTTGCCTTTCTGATGTGAAACCTGTGGACAAAGTATATCAGCAATTTTATGTTCTGTCATCCATTAAAAAACCATTCTTGGGGCTGGAGAGATGGCTCAGTGGTTAAGAACACTGGTTGTTCTTGCAGAAGACCCAGGTTTGGATCCCAGCACCCACATGGCAGCTAACAACTTCCATAACGCCAGTTCCAGGGGATCTGATGGACTCTTCTGTCCTCTGCAGGCATTGCACAACACGGGTGCACTTACCTACATGCAGGCAATACACGCATACACAGAAAATAAAAATAATAAATAAAATATTTGGAAAAAAAATTCTTGAGAGAGCCAAACTCCATACTCTGGCTACCTGCACCTTTGAGCTTATAAACAGTGATGCTGGGTGTCCAGTAGATATTCTGAGTCAGTTGGGAGGATGAAGGCACAATGGAACATGGGGGCACAGACCATTTGCTGGACAGCAGTCTCTTCTATTTCTAAGCTGTCCATAAGGGCATGAGATCTGGAATTCACGTCATACACCTTGAAGATGAGGAGGTGAGAATTTATTAAAGTTTTTCTATTTTTTAAAGAAGGAAACAAATCCTGTAGTAGTTTTTGCATTCTAGACTAGAAGATGAAATATCTGCTTCAAGTGAGACTCATCATTGCTTTGAGTGGTTGGGTGCCTCCTATTGATGGTAGGAAAGAGCACAGGGGAGGTCCTAAGGGAAAAGGACCTAATGTAAATGTTTCTGAGATTAAACATTGATCTCTTTGTGGGGATGAGGCAGGTATAGCGGTGTTATTAGTTCTCTTGGCATGTCCTATGACAAATCCAAGACCAAAATATTCCCTACTGGTTAGGGAGGCCCAGAATTAGGGACACACCATCAGCAAATGATGCATGCAATCCAGATGTTTTGCTTAATGATAAAATCAAGAAGCACCTCTGCAGAATTTGGCACAACCATAAAGACATCTGGTTTTGTAGCCGAGAGTGGGAGGAAGGATGTGGAGAACATGACAGTGAGTCATGCCATTTTCCCCCAGAATAGCAACAAATGTTTATTGAGGCTATTGGGAGAGGGCAGATGGGCTGGGCACCCCAGGGCAATCAACTGAAATGGTGGGGCAAGGGTGAGGGACATCGCCCTACATCTGGATGAGGATCTCCGTGTGTTCTCACATTGTCAATCCCACCTCTGGAAGAAGGGAAGTTCATATTGGGCTGGTGGTGTGTCATGAATTCTAGGACATCAGCAGCCACCCATGTAAAAATTTCAGGTGTGCACAAATCAGGGGAAGTCCCTGTTGATGCAAATTCAGTCTCAGCAGCAAGCACTGGGCTGCAACTCTTTGGGGTGTCATCTGTCCTGTCTTGAGTCCTGAGTCTGGGGCTTTGTTTGGAGATAGACAGATCCTGACCTGCAGGTTATTGTTCAGGCATACAAGTTGGGTGGGGCTTGGAATACTTTGAAACTAGGCATGCTGATCCTTGAGAATTGATAAATGGGATAACTGGTTGACCTTCCCACAAAACATGGGGGTTGGCCAAGCGAAAGGGATGACTGGGCAACCTTTGAAGAGCGAAACAATGCCAAAGTCTGGCCAGCCATGTCATTTTTGTGTGTGTATATGTGTGAGTGGTGCGGTGTGTGTGTATGTGTGTTTGTGTAGGATGCATACTTGTGTGAGCACTGAGGCCAGAGGAGGACCTCAGGTGTACTGTATCATGCTCTACCTTATCCCCTTGAGACTGGGTCTTTTATTAAACTTGGAGCTAGGTTGGCAGCCAGCTACCCCAGTGAGCCTCCTGTTTGTACCCCTCCACATGGCTCTGGGATTACAGGTGCAGGAGGCTGTGTCCAGCTTTTTGTGTGGTTTCTGGGGATTTGAACTCAGGTCCTGGTGCTTGTACAGCAAGCACTCTTACGCACTAAGCCATCTCTCCAGCCCCAGGCATGCCAACTGTTAAAAGAGAACAGACCCAATCACTGTGCACGCTAGGGGTATGTGTGTCAGAGACGGCAGGAAAAAGGACCAGAAAGGATCCCTTTCTGACACCAAGAATACAAACAATCTGTCCCCTGTTCCCAGCTCAGAGATTAAAAAAAAACGTGTGGGCATTCTTTCTTATCACTTGGGGAATAAAGGGAGGATTCAGGGTCCATGGTTTGTAGAACCCAAGTGTCCTGCTAAATTTCCTCCTGAGAGAACCACGTTCTCTGGAATCCCAGATAGTTCTAACTA